CCTGCGCTCTTCTATTTGCGTCTCGCTGGCACCGGCAGGCGAGGCTCGTGCAGCACCTGCGTTTCCAAGCCTGCTGGATGCCTCTTCTGTGGCCTTCTGTTTTCGAAAACAAATCAGGTATTTTGCTTTGAAAACTAAAGTGTAACTCTCCGAGGCTAGCTTTTTTGAAGGACGGATTCAGACAGAAATGGTCTTTTTTAAATTATAGGTTTAAAATTACCCTACCATTATACAACAACTTGGCACTTCTCCAGAAAATGGAAGATGTTTGGAACCTTTTCCACTGAAACGATAATTGCCCAATGAAAACAGGATTTGGGGAAACATAAACTGACATCGGGCTACTCCTTTTTTGCTATAAATTATATTGACTCTGCACTATTGCAAAATTACTTTGGATGATTTGACCATGGAAGAATGTAGTGAAAGACTCTTATTACCACAGTCACATGTGCAGGGAAATTGCAATGCATCCAAACAAATCTAAGCTTAGACGAGACTTTCCACTGACTTCAAACAACTCTCTGGTTTTCTTCCTCAGACTTGCTCGGGCCGCTATTAAAATATCTTTAACGTGCTTAACAACCAGGTGTTTCCCTTTGTGTGGCGGGATGGAAGTCACTTTTTCTTCTTCAACCAAATTTCAATATTTGGGTTGTTTACTCCAAGCAATGAGGGACGGGGATGAGAAACCTCCAAGTCTGACTCTGAAAAAGAACTAGTTGTTTATGCAAGGTATCGTTTTCCCCATGAAGCTCCCTGTTGCAGGATATTGTTGAGTTTACTGGTATATTAGAAATTATTTAGGAAGAAGTTTTTACGCTGTGGATCAGCAAATGGATGGGCATGTGTAGATAAGTAAGCAGATGTACAGCAATTTGGGAGAACATGCTTAAAGCCCAATGGATACTTTCTGCGAGCACTGGAAGTGCCTCAGTGAATCGGAAAAAAAATTTTCCCATGAACTGTGAGCGATTTCTTTGTTTGGCTTCATTTGCCTACCTACTTTATACAGCAGGGTGGAAAGGGTTATAGTTTCCTCTGTGTAAGAGAGTAAAAGATGGATGGTAGTCGGCGAGCCTGTCGGGCTGGTAAAAGTGAACTGTCAGGAGCTGACAACATATGAATGGAGTTACCTTGGAGATGCAACGGAAGACCAACAACTAGATGTGGAGGTTTTAATGAATGCCTGCCAAGCGAGGCAGAACGTGTGAAAACAGTGTGGCTGGACCCTGTAACGAAGGACTGAGGTGCTGGGATGCTGGAAGAACTCGGCGGAGGAGGAGGAATGGTGTAAGGCCACACCTGAAGGTCCTTCTGCGGCTCTGCGCCTGGAGGAGCGTTTGGAAACACTTTTTGGTTTTGCTTTTTTTTTTTTCTGGGTGACTTGTGCGCAGTCAGGCACTTGGCAAACCAAGAGGGCAGGACCAAGAGAAGGGGCAGCCGTGGGTATCGGGTTGTGCCCTGGTAAGTGTATCAATAGCCTGCTGTAAGCATTCACAGAAAACAAAATGATTTAAATGGCATGAGTAAGGGATTTTAGATAATGATATAGGTCCTAAACAGCCCAACTGAAAATGAAAACTTACCTGAAATGAATTCTCTGTCCAGTTTCTGCTCACAGTAGAAGCTCCCAAATGCGTCCTCGGCTGACTGCAGGTAAGTTTGAGATGGTTTGAGATGCCTGTGGAGCAGTACAGCAGTGTCTCCATGTGTGCGTTCAGGAACAGATGTCACTTTTTAGTACCACTGAATTAGCTGAGATCAAGGGAAGATGACTGAGTATCTGTAGACATGCGTAGGTGCCGTGTTATTTGCGGAGATATGTATCACATCCGAAGGTGCGGAGGGCCGAGTGCTCGCTTCTAAACTGGAGGCTCTAGCTGGGGTCTTCCCTGCCACTTTCTGCAAATGCAAGGAAGGCTTGGTCTTCTCGAGATCTTCAGAGTCTGGCTCTTTATTTTTCTAATATTTCCAGTAATACGGGATAATTCCTTCCGTGGAAGGAACCTGTTTGGGGTCAGAAGAGCACTGTTTGGGGTGGATTTTTTTTCTTTCAGTCCTTCAGCTCAGCAGCAAGCAGTTCACCCAAACCCCTTCTCCTGACGTGGGCTCCTCGGGGCTCGGTGGGTGGGCCAGCAGGAGTATTTTAGTACTGCGTTTTTGAACATGACTTTCCCTGGAGTTAACGCTGGTCGTAAGGCCAGTACTGATCTCAAGTGTGCTCCGAGACTGGGCTTGTCCATGGTGGCACAGTGAGTTCACCTCTTTACACAGTGAGCTTGTGACAGGCCTATTTCTGTTTATAAAAAAAAATAATGAAAACACATTTGTTTTGTAATTGCTTCCTATCCCTCTATCTTAAGGGTGATTTTTCTCCATAGTTGCAGTGCCGTCTTCAGGAGAGTCTGTTATGTGAGTTTGGGAAACGTGCTGTCTGCTATGTGGGAATCTTTAGTATGTAGAGCCTTGCAGCCCAGGTTGTGGCTGACTCCTGTCAAGGAAAACTACTCAAATTTGAGACAATTGGAGTCCTGTTTCCTCTGTCAGGTATGGAAAGCGGTGGAGTGGGACTTCCTGGCTCCCTTCCCCTGTATCAGATCACGCTCTGTGGTAGGTCAGCCAACGCAGGAGCTGGAACTCTTGTTTCCAGTTGCTACGCCATAAGGTCACCATCTTGCAATCTCTTGTTAAGCGTTGAAACCATGCATGCTTTCTTTATCATGGGCTTGGGTGGACATAAGGACTCCCATTACTGAAAAGTCTAGCAGGTCGATCTAGCTTGTTGATGAGCGCCATCAAAGAAGCAGCATCAACACCAAAGTGATTTCCATGGAAGCTTAGAGAAAGGTAGGAAAAATATTTTGCCTCACGAGAGGATAATTGCAAATGTTTGCATATAACAGCCTGTAATGTCTAAAGTTATAGGTGCTGGCTTGTTTGTGCCGGTGGGAGGAAGAGCATTTGCTGTATCGGTGTGCTTTCCTGAGTGGGTGAGAGCATTCACGCCAGCAGGGACTTCAGACCCGTGGGAGTAAGACCGAAGGGTGTCTGCCTGTCTGGCCCTCAGCGTGCCGGAGCCTTATTCAGAAACTAATACCTGACAGATCCACTCTGCTGCACAAAACCCAACAGCATTCGTGTTGTTGCCAAATACAACTTCCAGCCATCTTCCAAACTGTTTCTCATTAGCTGTCCTAGCTGTGTCACTGCTGCTGACGGGAACTGGCCTTCACAACCTGCTCTGTAAACACACTTTCCAGAGCTCAGCTCGGACAGTGGTTACGGCTCTGCTGCTGCAAGTCTCCTGCGTTGGATCTGGGTCTGTCCCTGGGAAAGGATTATGAAACAGAAGGCTCATATCATCACTGTTTGTTTATGGTGGTTTCGGGAAACGCAGGAGCGACGTTACAGCTTGGATCTTTCCATTGAAGCTTGCAGATTCTCTGTAGAGAACCTGTCTCCTCTGCACCGCAGTAGCACTGATCTTAGTCCAGAAACAATTCAGGCTTTTTTTGGCTGTGCTTTGGAGAAATTCATTCGGTCTAATGGCATTTTGAAAGGAAAAACAAAAGTATCTAAGAGCCTGAGGTTTGAGAAGTTGGCTGTTGCTCACTGGGTGGAATTCTGAATGGAAAAATCCGATGGATTTCTGCTGTGCAGAGCTAGTTGTCCAGACCTATTGTACTACCTCGCGTCACTTAAGTGCTGTCTAAAAACTATAGGACGGTTGCCACTAAATGCTTGTATTCAGTTGCATTTCATAGGTTCAAGATGCCCATAACCTAAGACAGAAATAAATGTGAATGCTGAATTGCTTCTCTGAATTTCCATTAACAAAGCTTTCAGAGTTTTATTAGCTACCTATTTCACAAGTGCCTTGGATAATTTTAATAATATGAGAAAAAAGCCATGCTCTCTTAAGCCAGAAGGTTGTAAAACAGTTGCAAAATGAAAGCTGGTTTAGGGTGAGTACAGGAGATGCTCAGGCAGCTGAACTGTGCCAGTGTAGAGCACAGCTGAAGAAGGCTGTAGTATTTTTATTGAAGGCGTCTTTTGAGCCTGTGCTTGTAAAAGGAGGGGAAATCTAGAAGCAGAAGTAATATAAGAAGTTCAGGGGTGCAAAGAAAGAAAAAGCTTGAATGCTGTTCTGTATCCTGGCTCTAATTTGGCCAAACCTGTGCTGGAGAGGTGCTGCACACATCTGAAAGGAACCCACTAATATTCATCATCGTGCCAGGATTAGATGGCTCGCAGAGTCCCTGGCTCCAGCATCCGAGGGCACGGGGCTCCAGCCCGAACCCCTCCATCCCTGCCTGTGGATGGAGGAGGTTAACTTCTGCTGTGGCCAGGCTGGCAGGGAGAGTGCCGCCTGGTGTTGCCTGTTTGGGCTTTGGTCAGCACGGCTGTCTGTGCCGGAATGCCTGTCTTTGAGTCTTTCTGGCACAACATTGTAAAAATTCAGTTTCTCTTGGAGCTGAGGTGTTGTACGCTTTGTATTTTTGTTGGGCTGGTGGAAATTCCTGAGAGTGAGTGGGGCATCAAGTGCTTTATGTTGTTGTTGTCATTTAGGAGAGATTTGCTTCTTAGTGATTGCTTATTACTTATTTAAATTAAATTCAAGAGGTGGTTTTAGACACTGAGACTGCCTGAGCCTCTGTTTTGTGAAAGCCCACTGATGCAATAATCTGCATTTATGAGAAAAGCTGAGTATCCTATCTGAAAGTGTGACAAGTACACTGAGTTTTGCAAGGAGCCTGGCTGGGAGGAGATGCCCTTGTCTGTCCTGCCAGGTTGTCTGCACTGCGATCAGAGTGGTGAATCACGGGAACACGCAGGGAGCAGCATTATTCTCCTTCTGTTCTCCATATGGAGATGGCCATGACGGGTCCCACGGGAAGGATGACTGAAGTGCTGCTGTTAGCCAGGTCATGTTTGCGTGAAGTGCTGGCGGAAGGATCTAATGCAAAACCCTTGACCACCCTTGTGTCCCTTTCCAGAGACGCACTTGATGCTGCCAGCGTGCTTTATAATCGAGTGGATGAGGGTGTTCACCGACTGGTGATGCTGTCGAACAAACGCATCCAGGAACTGGAGCTGGTGATGGAGTTCGAGAAAGTGGAAGAATGTTTTAAGGAGGTAAGGCCTGTTTGTCGGTTCTAGTGACTGCCTGCTGCCACCCTCTGACTGTACATCCTACAGCAGGTGCTGGGCCTATTGATCTCTCAAGGTGATGGTGTAGAATGATCATAGAATCACAGGATGGTTTGAGTTGGAAGGGACCTTAAAGATCATCTCGTTCTACTCCCCTGCCCTGGGCAGGGACACCTCCCACCAGCCCAGGTTGCTCCAAGCCCCGTCCAACCTGGCCTTGAACACCTCCAGGGATGGGGCAGCCACAGCTTCTCGGGGCAACCTGTGCTGGTGTCTCACCACCCTCAGAGTAAAGAATTTCTTCCTCATATCTCATCTAAATCTCCCCTCTTTTGGTGTAAAACCATTCCCCCTCATCCCATTGCTCCCCTCCCTGATCCAGAGTCCCTCCCCAGCTCTCCTGGAGCCCCTTTAGGCACTGGAAGGGGCTCTGACGTCTCTGCAGAGCCTTCTCTTCTCCAGGCTGAACCCCCCCAACTCTCCCAGCCTGTCCTCCCAGCAGAGGGGCTTCAGCCCTCTGATCATCTTTGTGGCCTCCTCTGGCCCCACTCCAACAGGTCCATGTCCTTCTGATGTTGGGGGGCCCAGAGTTGGACACAGTACTGCAGGGGGATCAGCCTCACCGCAGTGGAGTAGAGGGGCAGATTAAGTTAAGTAAAAGTCTCCTGGCTGCTCTCTAGGTGTGGATCGGTCAAACCTCATAAACCTCCATGATGCTTATCCATACGTAAAGACCACAGTGTAGTGGCGAGCAGTACACTTGGAGGTGGGTTGTCTTTTTACATTGATCAGCAAAAGTACCCTCCTAGCAAGACTGAGGAGCCATTCTTCATGCTCCATCTTGAGAAGCAGCAGAGCAATGGCACCAAGCTGATGACGAGTCCGCGTGTCCCCTCCGGGCTGTCGATCCTGCGGGGTTTGCCTACATCCTGCTGCTGAATGAGCCACACATAGCATACCTGAGGCTAGCTGCGCGTCCCTGCTGCCCACTCTGTTGTTTAGATTCCTGTGCAGTGCTCAGGTCCCTGCTATCTGATAAGGCCCAGGCACACCCCTTCCCCTCTGGGTGCAGCTCCAGGCACACTCCGGTTGCCTCTGGGTGCAGCCCTTTATACAGTCTGCAGGCAGGGAGCAGCCTCTTGTCCTTAGCCCAAGAGCCACCCTCAACCCCCTCACCCCCTGCACTTCTGTGGGAGCTTCAACTTCCCTTCATGTGCTGTCTATTGAAGCGCTTTGCAGCCATGGGATAACTGAAGCAAACAGGCACTGGTTTTCAGAAAGACCTTTGAAACCTCTAGCTATGTAGAGAAAGCCTTAAAAAATCATAAAGTAGCTCAGGCTGTCTGAGCATCCTACGAGACATTTCTTTGTGTTGCAGTTTCCTAAGCCTAAACTCAGCCTTGAAATTATGGAGTCGCATAGTCTCCTTTGGTGTAACTTGTCAACACTGGGAAGGTTTATGTATCACTTATTACCCTGGGTGTGTGCGAAGGGTTGTGTGCTGTTTGGAGTTGACCTTAGGAACCTGAATCCTTAAAGATCAGTACTAGGACCAGTTTGACCATTGCTCTTCTAGGATTCTGGGCTCTTCTCTTCTGCAGGGAGCTGGATTTGCAAAGGAGGCTGTAGCCTACCTGTTGTTTTCACAGGCCAAGGTGGATCCAAGAGTTTTAATGACTTCCCATTTGGAGGTGGACACTTGGGTGCCATGCACTGTGTCCGGGACAAGAAGTGTGATGCAAGAACCTAGGAAAGACTCCCTTAAACACAGAGGTTCCTAATACCAAACAGAAATGAAAAAAGGCACCAAGGCGGGCTCTGCAACCTGCCCCAGCTTTAAAATGAACTTTTTTTGATTGAATTGAGCAAAACTGACTGCTCCCAGCTTGCTTGCAGGTCACCAATGATGGCAGCAGCTGTGCCTGCTTTTGCGCCTACCTAGGAGCTGTAGGGAGCAGCAGCGTACCCCTCTGCAGAGTGGGTCACAACCTGGGAACCCACCGCCATCTCCTCTTGCTGATGAGCTTGTTCCATGAGCACAGACCCTCTCTTAGTCCACAAGACTAGGAGGTTGTCCTTGACTGTGGGGTTGAGTTGGGATATGGGTTTAGATGATACAGGAAAACAGGATGCGTGGGCATTAGGAAACACTTAGCCTGTCCCTTCCCGCAGGTGCAGTTATGCCTGAAGCATTGCAGACAAGTTTACTAGCCTGTTTTTAAAACTCACTGTTGATGGAGGTGCTGTGTTATCCTGTTTGGCCTCCTGTGTCTGCTTTGCTTTTAGGATGCTCTTCTTAGGTCTCTACCCATGTTTGAGGGTATAGGCTTGTAACTGTGGCAGTGGCTGAGATCCGCTGAGGAACCTGCAGTTACTGCGTGGCTTTGTGCAGAGCTGCCTTCAGAAAACCAGTAACAGAGTCTCAGGGAACCATGGAACATTGCAGATGGGGAGAATCCACCAGTATGTTCACACTGACGTAGTTCATGTCCTACCAGTCAGAAAAGGGAAGTGGTGTAGGAAATCTGGCAGTAGGGAGATTTTATCCCACTTGGGGGTAACAATAATAGGAATATCAGGCCAGCCTGCAGGTTGCAGACCTACATTAGACCATGGCTCACCCGAAACAGAGCCCAAGCAGCTACTTGCTGTGTTTATGCCTGAGGCTAGTGAGCAATAGCAGAGCTTTGCAATTACTCAGTAACCCGAAGTGGAAAAACTCCTAGCAGGAGGCTCAGGCTGAAATGCCAGGACATGGGGAGAAGTGTACATGCACGTTCTTTCCAGTAATAAAGTGACCAGCGTTATGAGAGCAATTCCTTGCTCTTTCCACATAAAGGCCTACCTTGGTGAGTAGCACAGAGTGACTAATAGTGGAGCTTTTCCCTTTTCTTCTAGGTCAGCAGTTGGATTGAGAATGTTGGCAGAAAACGGCTAAAGGAAACGGTCAACCTGGATGATTCTTTGGAGATGCTGCTTCAAGCACAGAAGCAGTTCAGGGAGTTTGACCTTGTTGCCAGTGTAAGTGTTGTCTGATTGGAAAAATGTATTCTCCAGAGTCTTGAGTTGGTGGCAATTGTGCCTTGTACGTGCTCAGCCAAACCCACAACGCTAAGATGGCGTTGGTCGAGGGTTCATGAGCAAGGTGTGTATACTTCCTTCACACTACTTAGTTTCTTTGCTCTCCTTCTGTAAACAAAGCCACCAGCTCAGCCCCGTGGTAGATGGCATTTGCCAATCTTGAGGAAAATAACTACTGTGATGGAAGATGAATTTTTTTTTTTAAATCCCTTGCCGTGCTTGTAACACTGTTTTTTTTTTTTTTTTTTTGATCCTGATTGGCATGTGGCCTTACTGTGTAGGCCTTTACAAGCTGCTTTGTGGCTCATGTAAATCATAACAGAGGTCAGGACACTTCAGAATCCTGCTGTAAACAAGTACACCCCTGCTTATGTGATTTGAACCTTAAAAAACAGTTTAATTAGCCTTCAAGGTCATTAACAGCTAGGACTATCTGCTGTCCATGTCAGGTCTCTGTAGTCATATACAATTGCATTTTGCTTTCAGGAATATTGCAGAAGGGGACAGGAAGCACTAAAGAAGATGGATCGATGGGAAGACTTCTCCTCTGTGGATGTGCATTCTTACAGGGTAAAGCTGGAGACCTACAGAGATCAACTGGAGGAGTTCTGCACTCAACTGGATGAAAACAGGCACCGCATCTGTGAGACAGTCAGGCTGTATGAATTCTTTGACAAGGTAAGACAAGGCATCTGTTGCATAGAGGAAGATGTAAAAAGCCTGCACGGACTCAGTCCAGAGCTTGGTTGTTTATGAAAGGTGTGAAACGTAGTGTGTGCACCAACAGGGGGATGGATCCGTGACCTGCAAAAAAGCCCATTCACGCACGTGTGTCTGGAGTCAGTATGTGGAAGAAGGGGTGGGTGTGTATTCAAGAAAATGTCTGTATGTGTTAAGAATAAGTCTTTTGCTGTCTGAGCTGCAGCTTGTAGGCCCCTCTTGTGGCTGCAATGGACAGAAGAGTCATGACAGTGCTGGCCAAAAGTTTGGCTACTCGTGTCTAGTCCTTGCCACCAGGCCGGGGTAGGCTGCCTACATTTTGTTCATATGGTATCCTTACACGCTGGCAAAGTCAGCCTGTATGGAGTAGTACCCTGCTGTTCAGCCCTAAATATAGCCCAGCTGCTCTCTTGTGGAGGCCTGTGGGAGAAACTGGAGCACCAGAATGGGGTGCTGGGCTGCATGGCTGAGGGACCCAAGGGGACCAGGTATCTGTGAAGCAGGAGAGGATACGTGTGGTGACTGCTGAGTGCCTGCCCTTCTTACCTGTTTGGTTTAATGCAAGTACACCCATTCAGCAGACCTGCAGTTGGATTTGCTGTCCTTTAATTTCTAAAGTTGTAGATTAATAAACAATAGGATTTTCTAAGCGCATTTTAAAACACAGCTTTGGCAAGCACAGAAGGCCAGGGAGCCTGTGCTCCATTTATTCCACACTTGTACAAACATTGGGTATTGAAGTTCTCAAATTCCAGAAAGAATAGACAGTAAATGTTAAGCTGTACCAGATGTAGGTGCCACTTAGTTGCTGTCTCTGAGCTGCCTTGGCAGCCAGAAGTGCTCAGAGGAGGGGGAAGGAAATTCAGCTAAACATGAAAACAGGGAGAAGCATCCTGTGCGAGGGGGGAGAGCGGAGAAGGCAGCCCAGAACGTTGCTGTCGGGACAAGCGAGGATTGAGTTTGGTGATGCTCGGCAGGTCCACTCTAGCTCATCTATGCAGTTTGCCATACAGGAGGGGGGACCCTCTTGCTGTGAGAATGTGTCATTATGTTTTTTCCTCAGAGGAGAGGAGGGTGCCCCTCTGTGCCGTAAGAGAACAGCAAGAACCTGTGCTCTGCTTGCTCACTGACCACAGACATTTGGGGCCTGCTCTGGCCCCTGAACACCCCTTGCCATCATGGTGCATCCTGGGAAGGATGTGTTTTGTCATATTCTGTCAGATAAGCAGAGGGAAACAAAGGTGCCAAGCTGTGCTCGGCATCTTGGCAAGCCTGTGGCCAAACCAAATGATAGTCCTGCATGAACCTACCCAGCCAAAGTTGGAGATCTTTGGAGCACAGATGTGGCACCTAATGGCTGCTCCGTCCTCTGTTCGGGTGTGGGAACTACATCGCCGTAGTAGCTCTTGGGCTGCCAGGGTGGTCAGACATGACTCAATGGCAACGGGTGTTCTTCCACAGCTTCAAAACCTGCACCATTCCTGGGGGCACAAATGTTACACAGAACCCAAAGATGGCCTATTTTAGGGCTTCATAACACCGCTCATACAGCTGCTTTCTGGTGGATGACAGTTGAGGATGCAGTCCTTGGGGGCAGCAGCAGCACCTCCCCTCTTGGTTGTGCCTTTCATGCTGCGCAGCCCCAGTGAAAGCTGAACGATAGTGGCACAGTGTGTTTGCACACTGCTTCGGTGTGGAGGAGAGGTATCTCGCTTAGTGAGGGAGGAGGATTTTGATCTCACTGGTTTCAGTAGAAATATAAACAGTGCTGCTGTTGTAAAAATAATGTGTGTGTTGTGAACCAGTGGCCAACTGAAACCAGGGGTGTGGAGGGGATACATCCTGCAGCTGTAGGATAAGTGCAGAAGTCACTGCGCAACATGAAAGTTCTTTCAGTACCCATTATTTTGATCTTGATCTCCAGAGTGCTTTCTGCCTTCCCAAAGCAAAGTCAGTGGTGTGATCTGGCAGGTGGGGGGGAAGCAGAAGATTTTATCTAAACTGATTTCATTCTCTTTGACTTTCCTGCAGTGATCTTGTCAGTGCCTGCCTAACCCCCTTCTCTCTTCCCTGATATCCGAGGGGATCAACAGCAGGAGTCTAAACTAAGCGATGTCCTTGATTTTTCTCTCTCGTAAAGAGCCTGCAGTGTGCCAGACCCCAGGATCTGGGGAAGGAGCCTGAGGATGCGTAAGCAATGTATGCTATGGTAATGAGCTGGCAAGCTCAGATCTCTCCAGACATCTCAGCGTGTGCCAAGGGAGTGGAGCACCAACCATGGGGATCGTGGTATCCATCCCTCACGTACCTCGCTGCCTACTGGGAATGGGAGGTTCTGTTCCGCTGGCCCTTCTTTTGCATGTGGTAGGCAAGTGTTTTGTAGGATGCTGCTGGACAGGCCACAGGATAGGACAGCACAACCCCATATGGTCCGTCAAGACACCGTAGTGTGTTTTTCACTGCTTGGCAGTTCCTGATGGCCTGCCAGAGCTCTCCATGATGAGGCAGGCTGAGCTGGGCCAGACCGCATGGAACTTGCACGTGGGCTGGCAGGGTTCCCTTCCCAAAGCCATGACTGGTGCCAAGCTGGATGTTTCCATTTGTCCCCGCTTCCTTTGTGGCAGGAGCTCTTGGTGCCTGACGAGGGCTGGATGGTGGCTGGGCTGAGGCAGGAGGAGCAGTCAAGGAAGCTGCCTTCCCCGTCTCTGACTGCGGGCAGAGGATTGTTTTTCAGTACCACAAACTCAGTGCGGGCATACTCGGGGACCTGCCATCTTCCTGTGGCTTTAAGCCTGGTCTGGCCACTGTCCCTTGTTTACTTAATTCCAAGGCTGTGTTGGGATCTGGCACCACACAGTGCTTTGGGGGAGAACTGGGAAGCTGAGCAAGCAAGGGTGTATGTTGTACCAAAAGCACTGATGTCGGCTTTGCTCTGGGGTGCCTGCAAGGGCAGTCACTGCTGCCCTTCTCTCCCACTGCCTGTCCTGGCTTCACAGTAACGCTGCCGTAGACACACCATGATTACCAGAAGGAGCTAGAGCAAGTCTCCCTCTCCTTGCTTACCCTGTTAGCCTTCACACTTTTTCTTCTCTTGAGCTTTCTCTGGTTGAAATTATTTCCCAGGTCACTTTTACATCACCAGGTCTCTACATGCTCTTGACTTTACCATGGGGGTTGGACTAGATGATCTCCAAAGGTCCCTTTCAACCCCTACCACTCTGTGACGAGCAAAATGCCCAGCTGCCTGTGTCCGCAGGCTTGAAACGGCCCATGTGAGAGCTGTGTGCCCTGTCAGCACTGCAGCTACCTAACTCGCGGTGGCACGTCCGATGAGCTGGCGCACCCAGCACGGTCTCTGCCAGCCCAGGGATGACAACCAGTCCTGCAGAAGGTCAATTGCGAAGGCGCATGGTACTTGCTGGCAAAAGCCACTCTGTTGGAAGAAAGCACTGACCCAACCAGAAAGGGCAGAGTCCCATCGCACCGGCTCAGCACCTGCATGCCCCGCAGCCCTGCGGTGCTGGGGTGCCCAGAGCCTCACAGCTGCACCGCCTCTGTCATTACAGGAGGGCCTGAGGCAGCCCCAGGGGCTTTTTCCTGCTTGTCAGGGTGTTGTGCAAGATGCTGCTTCTCTTGGTGCTCAAGGAAAGTAGAGGCATTGCTCTGCCGTGGCCTGGGAGCCTCTCGCAGTGTGGGCCCATGCCTTGCATTTGCTTCCTGAGGGAAGCTGTTCAGAGTCCCACCGCTCAGGATGGCTGGGGTGAGCAGCAGTAGCCTTTCCCTTGTTGGGATATCTCTGGGCCCTGCTCCAGGAGCCGTTTCTTCAGTGGCGTTCTCTGTCTGCCACCCTTGGATCCCTTCCCTCAGAGGACCCCTGGCCATCAGCCTGTGCTGGTTCCTCAGTAGTGATCCCGAGCCATCCTCAGTTTCTTCCTGCTGCGCACAAGGAGCTGCTGCTTCCCAGCTCTGTGTGGAGCGGGCAGAGCAGTGCCCATCCCCTCTCTATCTGTGTTGACATCTCTGAGTGGGATACCTGCGCTCATGTGTGGATTCACTCCCACAGCCCTTTCTCCTCCGCTCTCCTCCTCCTCTCCCTCTCCTCCTCACCCACTTTGTTCTTTGTGGCTTAGAAAACAAAGCCTTTGGCAAGTGAAGGAGGTGCCTGCCCTTCCTGGGGGAGGGCCAGCTGGCCTGCATTTGATTATGGCAGCGCCTCCTCATCCCTCCCCATTGTCCTTGCTGCTGTAGGAATGCCAGCCTTTTTGCGCTCCATCCCCTGAACAAGTGTTGCTGCCTCTGGGGCCCAAAGAGGGGCTGGGGCCCTTCTTCCCATCCGTCCAGGCCCCGCTGGCAGGAGAACCTCTCTGCACATCCCCATGCACCTTCCCTCCGAGTCGCGCACACCCCGTCCTGACTCCGGCAGCAGACAGACACAGCAAACCCTCTTGTAAGTACCAAGTATCCGGCGCTCCGGCTGACGTGTGAGTTGTATTGAGATTGTTTCCAAACAATGTAGAGAAGGCTTTTTCACTTGGTTGCTTGTGCGCGTCTGTGTGCATCCAGCATGAATCAGAGCGCCAAGTGTGCGTCTTTTGTGCGCTCAGACAGAGCCCTGGGAGCTGTGTGCGTCTTTGCATGGCCCCTCCGAATGCCAGGGTTGCGCTCTCTGTAACGCAGCAGTGCCCATCCTTCTTTCTCTTTATTAGAGGATATTGCGCGATCGTTTCGGTGGGCATTATTTAACTGCAGCTAGAAGTTGTTGCTGGGATTTGCATGCCTCCAGTCCAGCTGGATGCACGCACAGGGCAGGTGGTACCTTTCGATCTGCCCAGACTTCTTTTGGTTTAAGATTGTGGACAGGGGGTCCTCCCCAAGCCTGCTCCAAAGTTTGGTGGGCTCCTGTTCTGTGAGTGACTGGGACCTGCTGGCACAGTGTTCCCACCTTCAAGAGGTGGATC